CAAATCACTTGTTCCTTCACTGACAAGCCAACAGAAATCCATGGTCTATATTTTCATTTTTTGCAGAGCCTAGGAATAATTCTATGTTAAATGAATGTTAGATATTTGTAATATTTTGACAAATTAAACAGTTGCCAGAAACCGTGGCAATGCAGTAACCAGCATGTAATTTTATTATCTAAATTTAATCAGCATAACAAATATGATAAGGCTTTCTGGACTGAGCCTTCTGAGTGTCAGTAATTGCTTTCCCCTATAGCCACATACTCATCTTGCTTAGAAACTGAGACTGCAATCACCTGCCCTACTGACACAAGCACCAACAGATGCTGGAAAAAAAAAAATCTTTAAAAGTCAATGGGAGCTGGGTGCTTCTGCAAACTTTACCATCTACTGAAGCCCAGCAAACAGCAGATGTAGAGTATCCACAATATGGTACCATCAGGGCAAAAGGGAAGGGTCATCACTTCTGCGTCATATAAAGTATGATATATGGGAAACTATTTCATTCTCTCTATTACATGGATTTAGGTGGAGCACCCTCCATTTTGCTAGACATTCAGTGTCAGGGATTTCTATTGGCCCTGGTGCTTACCCTGGATGTACGTTAGCCTAGGAATTCATCAGTTCATCTCTCATTGGAAAGCATCTAACTGCAAACAGCAGATCATCTTATAAGTGATTAGTAGAGGTGCACCGATATATCGGTCCATATCACATTGGCACTGATAGAAGGAAAATTGACATTATCGGTTATCAGCTTCTTTTGGCTGATAATGTCTTTGATAAATGCTGTGTGCGTGTGCAGCTGCAGCATGCACATGGGCCAGGAATGCAGCCCGGCAGCTTGGAGAACAGCATCCAGCTGGTAAGTCTGTTGTGGGGAAGGGGTATGGGGGTGCTGATTGAGGCCCCCCATGGTGAGGGAGGGAGTGATGCTGGGGCAGGGGCAGGTGCTGCCCAAGCAGAGCGTGGTATGGGATGGAGCCACAGGCAGCTTGTCTAGAGGTGCGGGGGGGCAGGGAGGAGTGGTGGCTCTCACCACTGTGCACACCCTGGGGGGAAGCATGGAAGGCATGTGCCCCCCAGATTTGTGCATGGGGCAGGGTTGGGCTGCTCAGGGCCAGGGGCTGCACTGGCCTCTTCCCAGCAGGGAGGCTGAGCTGGGGCTGTGCTGGGGGCGGGTGGTGGCAGCACTGTTGGGGGGAGCACAGGGGGGCTAAGGTGAATTTTGGCGTGGCTGCAGCCCACCCCATAGCACCCCCTCCCAGGACTGCCACTGCCCACTGCACCCTTGCCCACCCCCAGCACAGCCCTAGTCCAGACCTGCCTGTCAGGAAGACCTCCTGGTCCTGAGCAGCCCGCCTTCACCCCATGCACAAGTCTGGGGGGCACATGCCCCTCATGCCTCCTTTGGGGGTGTGCACAGCAGTGGGAGCCATATCCCTCACCCCCTGGATGAGCCACCCGCAGCTCTGTCCTGCGCACTGCCTGGGCAGTGCCTGCCCCTCACCGTGGGGGACTCGATCTGCCCCTCCTACACCTCTTCCCTCCCCTACAAACCTTTCCTCTCAGACTTACCAGCCCAATGCTGCTCTCCAAGCTGCTGGGCTGAATATCAGCAATCGGATTGGTATTGGCCGATATGGCTGGTTAATAATCGGTCATCGGTATCAGCCAAAAAACTCTTTATCAGTGCACCCCTAGTGATTAGCTATGATGACACAGCAAACGAAGATTCCAATGTGACAGATAAATACAAGAATAAATGAACTAAGGAAGAGCAATCCTAGCTCCTGGGGAAGGGGCAGGGTGAGCATGTGGCTGCATTTCTGGAATCAAAAGTGAATGTCTGTTCACATGCTTATTGGTTCAATCTACGCAGCTTAGACTAACCTGCAAAGATTGAATTGTTTCAGCCTCGGACTTTTTGACTATCTGGACTTAGCCTGAGAGCTACACTATGTAGCAGTGATCATTATGCCATACGCTCCTTCATGGCATGGCCAAGATGCAGCAGACTACCAGCGGAATCTGACACTAGCGTAAGGCTGATTTCCCAGTGACTTCACGAGTCCTATACTAATTCCCTACCTGTTGATGGCGTATGGGTAAAAGGAGCATGCTCAATATGTGTGGTTGTCATTTTGGCTTGCTCGAGTTCACTAACAGCCACTGCGCTGCTTTAACTCAGTACAGAACCAGCCTTGGACAGAGTCAGGGAAGGTTAAATCTTTAAGCTGTCTTTACACTGCTCACAAGTGACTAGTTAGCCTTAGACAAGGATACGGGCTGGGAGTAACACACATCCAAGGCATTATGACCCCATGTAGATAGGTGAGCATGGGAAGAGCATCTGGGTAAAACACCATTTAAGTTATTTCTTCCCACTATGTGTAGAAGTCAGGTACTGCTACATTTTTAAAACACCCAGAAGGAAGAATCTCAACAGCAACAGAGTTGCCATGATCATTACAGTCGTGACAGCTGAAAAAAAGCTCACATTACAGGGTTTAAAGGATGGATATTCAGATGAAATTGTTCAGGGTAAAACAGAAAGTTACCTGAAACTTACTCAACTAGCAAACCAAGGCCGACTCTGTCTTTTCTTTGTGAGCATAAAAAAAAGTTAGAGAACTGTTTTTGTCTCTGTTTTCTCCAGTCTGCACTTTCCAGTCACTGGAAGCAGAAAAACTCCTAAAAGACATAGTCTCTCCAGCCAAAATTCAGCA